CAGGCCCCCCCCCCCTGTCTTGCCCGGGTCATGGGCACGGCTGATGCTCAACCTATCAACTGCTCCATTTGGCCAAGCCCCGCCCTTTTGGCCTTTCTGCCTCCCCCGCTGCTCCTAGAGGCCACACTCCTTCTCTCAAGTCACTGAGCAGCAGTTAAGCCCCAGACCCAGACTACCTCTCCCTCCCACTGTTGTGTGACCTTGGGAATGTCCCTTGCCCCAGATCACCAGATCCTCTTCTAAGATGACAGCCCTGGCTTCACTGGATTGTTCTTTTTTGGCGGTGCTGTTGATAGAACCCAGGACCTCACACATGCTAGGTAAGCACTCTACCACTGAGCACCACTATTCCCCAGGATTATTCTTTTGTTTAACAAAAGATTCACCTGGCTCTGCCTCTTACCCAAGCTCCCAGAGACAGTGTAACTCAACAAGCCTCTATCAGCACRCGGCTTACATTATAATGGGACAGAAAGATATCAAATAATTTGCCATAGCTGAGAGGAGTAACTCAGTGGTAGACCACTTGCCTGGCACACTTGAAGCCTAGGTTCTCACCCCAGTACACACACACACAGATGACCTTCCYGAGGAAGAGATACTACTGGTGACTCACCACAGAAAAGCACAGGGGCAGAGGACAGGCATGAGGCAAGGTGCTGAAGCAGGGGTGAGGATGGAGGGAGACATGCTGTGGCCCTGGGATGACAGGTAGACAGGGCTGATCATATAGCAGGATCCCATGGGATAATGAATGGATGGCGCAATAAATGTCATCCAAACAGTGCTATGGCCAGTAAGCCTGGATGGGGCAAAGTGCACACCACCATTGCATTCCTGCTCTGGATGTGCTCCCCACCTCCCTGTTTTCTCTCCTGGGACCCTGTTTGTGGAAGATTACAGGGAATGTGTGTCATGACCCAAATCAGAGGAGTCAGCCTCCCAAGCCCACTTTCCCAGGCTCCCTCACTGCTGGGTAYAGTCAGTCGTATGACTCATGCTGGGCCAATCAGGTGCTTCCACTCCATTCTCTCAAGCAGCACAACTGGGATCTTGGAAGGGAGCAGAGCCAGAGCACAAGTGCCAGTCCAGGCAGATGCTGTCAGCCATCTGTGCCAGGCTGCTACCTGACTTGCCCACCTCTGGCCATTGCATTCCTCCCTCTGCATCCTACCACTCCTCATCCTACCACTCCTCGGGGCACACTTACACATTGCCCTCCTCCAGGAAGGCTCCCATGACTCTCAGGGAGCACCCAACCCCCTTCCCCTCAAAGTACTGAGGTGAGGGAAAGACAAACATGTGTTGTCGCTGTCTAACTCACGACCCCTGACCCTGGTACACCTGTGAAGGACACTTCTTCAGTGGAATCTTGGGTGCACACACACAGGGCCTGGCATAGGATGTGCCATACCAAGTGCCTGCGGAGTGGATGGGGCCAAGGAAAACCCCCAGCCCAATGCCAACACTCCTCAGCAGGGCCCACTCCAAACAACATCCTGCATGTGGAAGCTGACAGGGCTGCCCCGTAGGCCAGTCTGACTCTGAGAATGGCCCTCGTCGTGTCCCAGCACTGTCAGGCACTCTGATGTGGAGCGACAGATACTCAGTCTCCTGGACTCTGCCAACTGCCTGAAGGAGCCCTGGAAGTGCTGTGGGTATTTCTAAACTCCAGCTCCGGGAGGGGCAAGCTGGAGGCTGGGAGTGCTGAAGGGAGAAGACAACATAAGGTTTCTCCTCCAAGGAGCCCTCCAGCGGGCCCAACCTAGGCCGYCTGTGAAGGACACTGCAACATCTGAGGACTGCAGCTCTCCACATCTGACCTGTACCAGCAAATATGTTCTCAGCACCCAAGGAGCAGACAAGAAAAGGGCCACACAACCGATGGGTCCTGATGGAAACAAAAAGATGATATATTTACCCAAGGCCAGAGATGGAGCTCTCTCTTTCTCAGTGATTGTCTCATTTAACCCTCAAAGTGACCCTAGGAAACATTAGGATCATCCCTATCTTATGGATGGGGAAACTGAGGYTCAGAACAGGTACCTGAATTGCCTGGGTCACAGACGGGAAGCAGCAGAGGCAGATCTGGGGCTGAGAGATAAAATGGAGCTCCCTCACTGCTGGGTATAGTCACTCCTATGACTAGGGATTCCTAGGGTGGGCTTAGGTTCATAGAATCCAGGAATGGAAATTTTAGAACCTTTCTTACCTGCTTAGTCCCCACCACATGCACTTACTCACCCCACCACCACCTCAAGCACAGCACATCACATACAGCAAGGCACCCAATTAACACTGGCTCTCTTCATACCCAGAACCACTGCAAATACGGAAGGCCACAATTTTTATTTCTGGTATATTCTGTTTGTTTGTCCCAAAGAACCTCCAGTGGCCAATGGACACAGGCACGACAGGCACACAGATGACTGACAGTAGCACTGGGGATCCAATGGGAGGCAAGCAGTCACAGATCCACTGGACTGGATCCTGATCACCACACCTCACACTGTCCAGGCTCCAAGGCGGTTCCTAGGGAGAGTGCCTCTTCCTTTCCCTGCCTGGATGTGCAGGGTGAAACTCTGGGACCTGCCAGCCTTAGCAGCRTCCTCCCCTAACATTCCCATGGGCAATTTGATTAGCCAGGGTCTGGGCTAAAGYCCTTGGTGCTCGCCTGTCAGGGAGCAAGAGTGTGGAGAACCCCGTGGCTTGTGTGCAGGTCTCACATTCAGGTGCTATTTCAAGAGGAGCCAAGGCTTTAGCCACCTGCCTCAAGAGTGTGTGAGGCCTAAGGGCAAAAGAGGTAGTGTGGGGGTCCTGGGCCCTGTGCCTGACACTCAGGAACCAGAGGACAGACCTGTAGAAAGAGGGAACGATGAGGGTTCTTGTGGGGTGGGCATGCCAGGGGCTCCCCTTTATAAGCACAGGCTGGCCTTGGCTGAGCAGCAACCATGAAAAATTTTGTATGCAAGGCGAGAAGCATGTCCCTGCCCCAATTCCTGCCAAGAAGCCACAGGCACTGTCCTTGGGAAGCTTACAGAGGAGAGGTGGCAAGAAGAGGGCCCTTCTGCAGCATCTGCAGCCCCTAACACATCCTGGAGGGTGGGGGCTATCCACTACTGTCCTTTCCTGGRCCCTGATGAAGGACTTGTGAGATTGTGGCTGGAGTTCACTTTTATGTTGAGACCCTTTACTTCAGGCACAGCACTAGGCCCAGAATAGGGGTAAATCCTCAACCCCAGATTTATCATCATGGAGGGGTCTGGGACCATACGTAGAAGGGACAACAAGAACTTTACTCTGTACAAGACCTTGGTTTCTCCATTTTTACATGTAAAGCCCCATGGAGCTCACCCTGCAGACCCTTATCTGGGCACTATGGACCATGAAGGAGAGAGAATWGTCAAGTGTCTTTGCTGGAGAACAATCCCCATCCCCCAATCCTGCTCCCCACACTTCAAGTCTGACTCTAATACTGCCTTTCCTATTCCAGGACACCTCCTGGAGGGCMGGGGAGGGAACTGTCCAGGCCAAGGGTAAAAGAAAACAATGGATGCTACCAGAAGGGGGCCACAATGGCATAGACTTGCAGCCAGAGGGACCTCACCAAGTTGACAGCCCCAGTATCACTTGCCTCAAGGACTAGAGCTTCCCCCATCCTGGTACAGGGAGTGGAGGCACATAGGATGCAGCACATGGAAACTAGGTTCTGAATGTCTTTCTCTGTGCCTCAGTCTCCCCCCTCTGCACCATCCAGAGGGGGAGGTGAGAGCAGCTGTCTGGGGACCTTTCCCAGGGAGACAAGAGGCCCTAGTACCACTGCCCTTACTTCATTTTATTGGCTATCCCTACAAAGATGATACAAGCCCATAGTGCTCACCCTCCTGCTCAGCAGAACCAGTAATGGCCAGAGGCTCCAGTCCTCCTCTCCCTAACTAAAAGTGATTTTTCCTGGCAGAACCTGGGGCTGCCCTGCCCTGACTCCACCCTGCTCCCACTGGGCTCCTTCTATGCCCAGAGCAAAAGGGAGGTGGTTGCTAATGCCAGGAGGGTGTGCCAGCAGCTCCTCCCCAAGGGCTCCCTTCCCTACAGATTCCACCTGCGCCTGGGCCCGGATCCTCCAAGCACTCACACCTGCACTWGTGTCCTGCCATCTCTCTGCCCCCAACAGCCAACTCTCCACCTGGGGAAAGGAGGGTGTGTCCTCCAGCCCAGGACTGTAGGAAACCTCCTCACCGGCTGAAATCCGCAAGGAAAAGATGCATGGTCTTTCCGTGAAGGTGACCAAAGCCACAGCAAACCCCCAGAAGTGCCCACCGCAGAGGTGCAGAGAATGGAAACCAAATGCTCTTAACACYTATATGGGAGCCTTGTGGATGGAAAAGAGAGCTGCTGCCTCCAGTCTGGAATTCTCAATCCCCAAATTCCCCCACTCCAGACCCTAAGCGGCCCGCTCCCTGCTCTCCCTGCCCGWGTGTACTACTCAGCAAATCCCGGCTTCCCGACCCTTCAACGCAGCAGGGAGCAGGGAGCCCCGCCCCTGCCCGGGCTCCCCGCGGACGCTGGGACTCTAGGGCTGCGTAAGCTAAAGGGACACCCTGGCTCTGTAGGCTGTCGAGCCAAGGGATTCCCCAGCGTGGACCCCAGAGCCCCCACGTCTACGTTTCGCAGCCTGCGCTAGCCCCTGCCATGAATCCCCGAGGTGCGGCCCTGGACTCCCTCCGCTGGAGATCCGGCTCCCCAAACCTTCTGGCAAAGCCGGCGGATAAAGGCCCCGGCGCACCGCCCCGGTTCCCGGAATCCAGCGCCGGCGGGCTGGGGTGAATCATTAACCGGCCCCGCTGGAGCTCCGGCCGCGCCGACCTCCCGACGACGCCACGCACTCGCTCGTCCGGCCCTCAATCCCTACCCTCCGAGCGACCAAAAGACCGACGGACGAACCGCCACCCCGCCTGGAAGTGCAACTTCTCGACCCCAAGGGACCTCCGACCCCTCCTCACGGTCGCGGAAAGGGCTCAGAGGCTGGGCGCAGAGGCCCAAGGTCACACAGCAGGCAGCCACCGGCAGAGGGAGAGCGGGCCGTCCGCCAGCAACTTTCCCGGATCCAGGAACTTTCCTGCGGGCCGGCGGCCCCTGCGCCCAGCCCTTCCAACTGCCCCCGAGGCCCAGTGGCTCTGGGCTCCTCCGCAGCGCCTGCCTCCCAGCACCCGACCAGACCAGGAATAGGTGCGGGGCMGCGGGCCCCGGTCGGGAAGCGCTGAGTATCCAGCGGCCAGCGGCTCCCAGGACCCGCAGGTCCGGCAGGAAATGCCACTAGCTTAACCCCTTCCCTCCCGGGTGCGAGCAGGGCAGCCGCTAGGAAGCCGGTTCGCCAAGCCCATCTGAGCGTGCGGACCCCGCCCCACGGCCGGGAGCAGACCTCGGGCCGCACTCACCAGGTAGTTCATGGTGTCCCGCCGGCTGGAGGCCTCGGCTCCCCTAGAGAGCGCACACCGAGCAACCCGGGCCTCGTACTCGGGGTTCTGAGAGCGCCGCAGCCGCCCCGGCCCGGCTCCCGGTCCGGCAGCCTCAACCACAGCCTTCGCCGCCCAGAGCCGGTCCCACCTAGCTCCGCCCGCCACCGCGGCCAGGCCGGCCCAGCCCCGCTCCCGGCATGCCTGGCCGCGCGCGCCCATTGGCGGCTGAGGCTCCCATGCAAATGAGCCGCCTGCCCGGGGGGCTCAGGCGCGCAGGGGAGGGGGGGGCGCAGGAGCGCGGAACCCGAGCCTGCCCAGTGGGACAGCCCCCTTCGGCTCAAGGCCCCAGTCCGGTGTCGGGCTTCAAACCTACTGCAAGGGCTGGGGTCCTGGCTCAGCTCTAGAGCGCTTGCCTACCATGTGTAAGGCACTGGGTTCGATTCTCAGCCCTGCATATAGTAAATGAATAAATAAAGGTCCATCAACAACTAAAAATTTATATTAAAAAAAATAACAAAACCCCGAGCTGGGGTTGGGGCTCAGCAATAAAGYGGGCTCGCCTAGCATGTGTGAGGCCCTGGGTTCGATCCTCAGAACCCCATAAAAATAAATAAAATAAAGGTACTGTGTCCAACTGCAACTAAAAAAAATGTTAAAAAATTTTTTTTTGCACCCAGCGGCTCAGGAGATTGAGGAAAGAGGATCACGAGTTCAAAGCCAGCCTCAGCAACAGAGAAGCACTAAGCAACTCAGTGAGACCCTGTCTCTAAATAAAATACAAAATAGGACTGGAATGGGGCTCAGTGGTTCTATCCCTGGTGTACACACACACACACACACACACACACACACACACACACCAAAACAAAAAAACAAAACCTACTGCAAGGGATATCCCTTTCCCTCCAAATACAGGTCTCCCAGAAAATGCCTTTCTTGAAGGTCTGTCTACTCAAACAGCCTCCACTTCCTGGAAGACTGTCAGGATTGCCTTCTGGAGAAGCAATAATAGGTGGGCCACAGTCCCCTCTTCCCTCCCTCCAGGCACCGGCCTCAAATCAACTTTTGTCTTTCCCACCCACCAAACCCTGGACATTCCACATGTGTCTATCAGATAATCCGTCTCAGATCTGAATCTAGATGTTATGGGGAGGGAGCATGCTCCAGCCTGCAGAAAAATAACAATAACTACAACACGACCTTGGACAGTTTGACTGTGTGAGGACCCCAGGAAATGAAGACTCAAGGGAAGGAGATTGGAGCTCTGGCCTGACGTGACTTTTTTTATAGGCAGCACTGCCCCCTCCCCCCCGCATTCCTCGACCTTCCCGGGACTCAGGCTGGCCCCCAGAAGCCCAAAGGGAGCAGGGCCAAGGCTCATCCTGTCCTACCCACCCCCTCCTATGTGCTCCTGGCCATAGCAACAAGGAACTCAGGAACCAGAGGCCTGATCTGATCCCTGCCTCCCTGAAGCAGCATTCTCCTACTCTGCTCTGACGTCTGCCCTAGGAGACCTGTCCCCTCCATTCTTTTTTTTTTTTTAAAGAAAGAGAGAGTGAGTGAGAGAGAGAGAGAGAGAGAGAGAGAGAGAGAGAGAGAGAGAGA